CGCGAGGACTCTTCCCTTCCTCAAGGTGGGGGTCCTGGGGGGGCATCAGGATTCTCATTTCTGGCATCCAGATGGGGGCACTTGGGGAGGAGGTGCCACCTCCCAGAAATGGCGCAGTCCTAACGCGGTTGAGATGGCCGGGCTTAGGACAGGGACTCATTCGAGCACAAAACCGTGGAAACCGAGGGATGCAGGCAAGCGGGGAGGGAGGGAGGGGAGAAGGACGGGCTGAGCGTGCGCGGCTCCTGCCGCTGGAGGCTTTACCATGCTCTGCCTTCCCGCTCCATCCCTCTCCTTTCTGGGCAAATACATATCCAAGCTATACCGGGCGTTTAAAGAGAGCGAGCCTTGGCCAGGGAGGGGAAGAAGGGGAAGCTGAGGAGTATCTGTACAGGTACAGCGACACTCGATCTTTCTGGATGGATGCATATATATGAGGAACATATATATGAGATGCATGGATAGGCGTGACGTTTACCCCTCAGGGCTGTCTCTTAGGATGTGAGGGTTAATGGCTTTGTGAATCTCAGCTGCATCAACCTAATGGTTCTGGGATTCTTGGTGCTCGGGTAAAGTTTGCACGAGCCGTGGCGAGGTGTCCTCCAAAGGTTTGAGGGGTTCACCCCCATCTCTTTCTCTGGCATCACTCTGACTTCTGGATTGCTCTTTAGAGAACACCCTCCATCCTCCTGCCGCAGCCTTTCCTGCAGGCCCAGCACACGTCTTCCCCTTCGTGCCCGCGTCCCGAGTCAGCGGTGGGGCTGGGGAGCACCCGTGGGTCTCGACGGGCATTTCTGGTCCTCCTTTTTTCACCTCCATTTCTTTCATCCCTCCCAGTTCTGGAGGCCACGGGCGACGTGGCCCTGTACGCCGGGCTGGTGGTGGCCATTTTCGTCTTCATCGTGATCCTCATGGCTGTGGGGGTGGTGGTGTACAGGAGGAGATGCCGGGATTTTGACACGGACATCACAGACTCATCAGCCGCTCTGACCGGAGGCTTCCACCCCGTCAACTTCAAGACCTCCCGGCACGGTAAGAGCCATAGCCCACGCAGGTCCTGCTCGCCAGCTCAAGCCCAGGCAGAAGGAAGCCCAGGCTGCAAATCACAGTAGGGGATCGGTCCCTGGTAGATCCCCAGCCCAAATTTTCTAGGGGAATATGCTGATTTTTGAAGGCAGAGGGCTCCACGGAGGTGGTCAGGTGGTGGTGGTGGTGGTGGGAGTCAGGGCAAAGCATGAGCAAAGCCGATGCGGTGGGGGTTTACCATAGGATGCTGCTCCTCACGTAGTCGTGATGCTGAGCAGTTCCCTTCCCGGTGCCCATGGCAGGCAGAGGGACGTGGCCCAGCGCTGTACCCCTCGGACCTCCTCTGCACCCTCCGTCCCTTGCTGGGCGAGGGGGGCTTTTCACAGGCATCGCTTCCAGTCGAGCAGTGCCTTTACGTCCCCTCGTTCCCACTGCCGTCCTCATCCCGTCCGTGTGTCCTCCTCCCGCAGACAACCCTCAGCTGCTGCACCCCTCGATGCAGCCGGACCTGACGGCCAGCGCGGGGGTGTACCGTGGCCCCATGTACGCCCTGCAGGACTCCTCCGACAAGATCCCCATGACCAACTCCCCCCTCCTTGACCCCCTCCCCAACCTCAAGATCAAGGTGTACAACTCCTCTACCGCCTCCTCCTCGCCGGGGCTCCATGATGGGACCGACCTGCTCGGGGGGGTCCCGGCCACCGGCACCTACCCAGGGGACAACACCAGGGATGGCCACTTTGCCAACCTGCGGAGCAAAGCCCTGGGCTCCCAGCATCTCCTCAGCTTGCCCCGGGAGCACGGCAACAGTGCCAGCAGCACGTTTGGCTACCTGGGGGGAAGGCTTACCATCCCGGGCACCGGTAAGTGCCGGGCTGGGGAGGAGGGTGCGTTTGGCTGCTTGATGATCAAGGAGCTGCTCTTGTCCCAGCAGACTTGCCTGCTGTGAGCACCCCTTTGCTATCCCAGAGCTGGCCCCTGGGAGGAAGGCAGCAAGCCGTTCCCAAGCCAGGCTTCTCAGGATGGAGGTCACAGCCTCCTGGGACTTCCCTGGCTGGCCCTGCAAGCGGTGCAGCTGAGGAACATCTGGAGATGTTTCTCCTGGGGCGCTCTGTGCTGCCCTGGCTCACCGCCGTCCTTGTGCTCGCTGGCTGGGGTGGAGGGGGAGGTTCTCCCTGGTGGTTTCTTCCTCGTTTTGTGACTAACGCCTGCGTGTGCCGTGCTAGGGGTGAGCCTGCTGGTGCCCCACGGGGCCATCCCCCAAGGGAAGTTCTACGAGATGTACCTGGTCCTCAACAAGGCAGAGAGCGTCCTGTAAGTCACACCGCGCCGCCTGTGCTTCTGCTCTCTGTTGGCCACTGTGAGGTTTCCTCTCCAACCGGTGTCCCCTCTGCCCTCCCCAGCCTGCCCTCGGAAGGCACGCAGACGGTGCTGAACGGCGGGGACCTGCGTACCCACCGGCTTGCTCCTGTGCCGCCCCGTCGTCCTGACCATTCCCCACTGCGCAGACGTCGGCTCCTCGGATTGGATTTACCAACTGAAAACACAGTCCCACCAGGGAAACTGGGAGGTAAGGTGGGAACCCAGCCCCTACAGCCAGCGAAGACCACGAGCGATGTGGGACACAGCCCCTAGCAAACTCCCCGCCGGGCAACAGGCTGACCGCTCCTGTGCCGCCCCGTCGTCCTGACCATTCCCCACTGCGCAGACGTCGGCTCCTCGGATTGGATTTACCAACTGAAAACACAGTCCCACCAGGGAAACTGGGAGGTAAGGTGGGAACCCAGCCCCTACAGCCAGCGAAGACCACGAGCGATGTGGGACACAGCCCCTAGCAAACTCCCCGCCGGGCAACAGGCTGACCCCCAGCCTTGATTTCCCATCTCTCCTTGCAGGAAGTTGTGACCTTGGATGAGGAGACCCTCAACACTCCCTGCTACTGCCAGCTGGAAGCTAAGTCCTGCCACATTTTGCTAGACCAGCTTGGTACCTACGTCTTCGTTGGAGAGTCCTACTCCAGGTCAGCCATCAAGAGGCTCCAGCTGGCGATCTTTGCCCCCACCGTTTGCACCTCGCTGGAGTACAGCCTCAAGGTCTACTGCTTGGAGGACACGCCAGACGCTCTGAAGGTAACGTCGCCTTGTGACGCCGGCGCGGGCTGCCCCCGTTTCCCAAAGCTGTTTGCGTTGGCAGCGAGATGCTCCTCTCCGGACGGCCCGGCCCCTGGGAGCAGACAACCTGATGCAACTGCCTGCAAAGTGACCACAGTAAAATAATAAACGTGTTTACGGCTTTCCCTGTCCTTCCTCACCCTCTCCGAAGGAAACAATGAAGATGTTGCCTAGCTCGGGCTTGTTGCTTTTTCTGGGCCCCCTTTCTGCAGGTGTTACAAGAGAGGTTTTGCTGCTGATGGGTGGGTTTTCTCTCTCTCACGCAGAAAACACTTGCTGCTGCGATTTGCCTCAGTTCTCTATAGATCCTGTTATTCCTGCGTAGAGATGTGTCTGTCCCCACCGTGGGAGGGTTTGTGGCGTTGATAGTATCGAGTGCGGCACGAGGAACTCAAAAGTTTTGATGCTTTGGCTGCCTGGACCACCGGTGCGGCGGCTGTTTAATTCCCTGTGACTTGTGCTGTGGCGTCAGGATTGCGGCAGTGCCTCTAGGTGGAGATGTAGGCAGCGCTCTGGCTCCCGGACGGCGTTTGTCTCCTAAAAGCTGCCGGGGTACTAGTGGGACGGTGTTAAAAACAGATCGGGTGGCACTCTTCTGGAGTGCCACTGAAGTGTCCGACCTCTGCGTTGGATCTTTGCGTCATCTGAGGAGTCCAGAGGCATATACGGATGCTCACGTATTATAACATTCAAGTTGTAGGTGGGGCTGGCGTGCGAGATGAGTCGGCAAGCTCTCGGAGAGCGGTTTTTGGGGTGGCAAAGGCCGCTCTCCTGGGGAGGACTCCCCGCGGGGTTGTTGCTGCTGCTGGCTCCTCCTGGCAGGAAGGTGCCTGGCTTTGGGTCTGGAGAGGGGAGAGGAGCAGCCCCCGCTCTCGTCCTGGGTCTCACGCTGCCTGTCCCGCTGCACGCAGGAGGTGCTGGAGCTGGAGCGGACGCTGGGTGGGTACCTGCCGGAGGAGCCCAAGCCCCTGCCCTTCAAGGACAGCTACCACAACCTGCGTCTCTCCATCCACGACATCCCCCACGCGCTGTGGAGGAGCAAGCTGCTGGCCAAGTACCAGGTGAGGGGCTGAGGTGGGGGCAGACGGGGTCCCAGAGCGGGGACACCATCTTCAGCCAGGCACCGCCGGGTCGTGAGTGTGCCCTGGTCTTGTCTCCAGAGTTGTCTCCCAAAGGGATGGAGGAGGAAGGGGGACCGGTTTTCACCTGGTCTTTCCTGGTGGGATGCTATCTGTGGGGTCCCTCTGTCCCATCTCAACCCCGTGGGGCGGCCGGAGGAGGGGCCATCTCCCAAGGGAGCCGCTGGAGCCTTTGCTAAGCCCGTGCTTTGGTGGTGCGCAGGAGATCCCCTTCTATCACATCTGGAGCGGCAGCCAGCGAGCCCTGCACTGCACCTTCACGCTGGAGAGGTACAGCCAGGCCTCCACCGAGCTCACCTGCAAGATCTGCGTCCGGCAGGTGGAAGGGGAAGGGCAGATCTTCCAGCTCCACGTCACGCTGGGAGAGGTGAGCGGCGGGGAGAATCCGGGGGGGGGACAGCAAGGGGGACACGCTCAGGAGCTGCTCTGTGCTGCAACGTCTCGCCTCATCCTTCTCTTTGCAGCATGCCGGCTCCTTCGACACCCTCCGCTCCCACCACAGCGGTTCCACCACCACCACCACCACCCAGCTGGGACCCTACGCCTTCAAAATCCCCCTTTCCATCCGGCAGAAGATCTGCAACAGCCTGGATGCCCCCAACGCCAGGGGAAACGACTGGAGACTTCTCGCCCAGAAGCTTTCCATGGACCGGTGGGTCTCCCCGTGCTTTGCTTTGCCCCCTGGGTAGGGGGGTTTTGCTCCGCTCCCTCCCTGCTAGGTTATGTCTAGCTCTATAGGTCCGCCCATAAATATGGAGATAGCTATGCGTGGTTATACTCATCTATATCCATGCACCCATCTGTGCCACAGTCCTGGGTCTCTTCTCACTTTGAACCGGCCCGTCTTTATCTGGGGCCGTGCTTGGGCTGCTCCTGCCTGGGTTCACCCCTGAGGACCAAAGGGAGGGTAATGTCAGCAAAACGGAGCTCGCGTTGCTCTTGCACGAATGCCTGTATCAAACATTGAAGACGATGTCTCAAGGGCTTTGGCATTTGCATCGTGGCATTTCCATCAGGGTTCACGTAGCGAATGTGTTTCCTGCTCCGGCATCTTCCGCCCCTCCATCCCCCGAGGGCACCGCGCCAACCCGGACCTCCTCTCTGCTTCCCCCCCCC